GAAACACCCAGCGTCACACATGGCGGGCTAGAATGAGCGGAGGCCGGTTTGAGTGAGAGGAGGCCAGTGGGCTTGAGAATGGCAGCAGCCGGCAGGCTTGTGGCAACCACATGTGACGACCACATGATGCTGGACTCCGCTTCGTCCACGGTGAAAGCCGATCCGGCGATCTGACCCCTTTAACCATTATTTTTAACTTAACCGTTATTGGGCCATTGACCATGACTGTCTACCTGTCTGTCTATTAAGGACCGATCAAAAAAAAAAAAGCATTACAATAAGCTTGAAGTACCTCACATGCAAACAAATAATAATTATAAGACTGAAGGATCCAAGCATATAATTGTAATAAAAGAATATAAAATTAGTATGCATATCAAAAAATGTTGAAAATACAGTTTATATTAGATATATTTATATTAATATTAGATGTCAAGTGACAAAGTATACTTTAAAGAAAATACCGAATTCTTTGATCAAAATGTATATGAATAGACATAAGATCTAATTGTATACACATCTAAATAATAAAATAAAACTATTTTATTATTTTAAAGACTTTTTAAGTTTGTCTGTGTAGGAATACCATTGAAAGACAAATCACAAATGAGATCTATGTACTGTCATAATTGTTTCGCAATAAGATTAAATAGAAAACAAACTTTCCTTCTCAGATTTTTGAGAAAAAAAACAACTATTAATTCCACATATTTCCTCCACAATATGTCAGCTGTCTCAAACTGTGTGTAGATTTGCCAAAATTCAAAGAATGTCAATATGAACATTTCTTCAAAAAAACAAATTCTGTGAGCCGATTTAAAAAAAAATCTATAAAAATTACATGATTCTTGACACACTTTAAAAGTTTGGTTCCCATACTAAAAGCCATGCTTTTTTTTGTTTTTGTTTTTTTCCAAATTTGTAAAATTATCTCTTACGTATCTCTTCGGGGGTCAAAACAGACCTGAATTGTGAGGATGAAACACAACCGAGGATTTATTTTGTCTCACGAGCTATGAATGAGCAACCTCTGATCAATGCAGTTTTCCTCTAGGCTGTTTGATCTGGGTTCTAAATAATCCTTACTATTCTTTTGCTGTTATACCATGACTTTATTTTGCTTCATCCACTGACTACAACTAACTTTCTCTGTTTTTCTGACAGATCTTCGGTCTGATGTCTGTCATCCGCTCATACAGCGGCTCTATGGGGGATGATTTGGAAACCTACAGGACTTTAATGGTAATGGGAGTTCGTCTGGCCACCTGGAATCAGATTCTGGACCCCTGGGTCTATATCCTTCTACGCCGGGCCGTCCTAAAAAAGATTTACCGCATAACCACCGGCCGCAGTGACCTTAAAGGGAGTACATTCCGGCGGTGGGAGATCAGCTCCTTCCAGAACTCCATGAAGAGTGTAATTAATCGGAACTGATGGAGGGATTCCAGAATATGCGTTCTACCATGTGGAAGAGACTGGGAAAAGGGAAAAAATAGGATGTTATTAACCATCCTATTTTGCAGCATTACTGAAGGCAGATGTAAGTTCCTATTGCTTGAATGGTGGATGAAGCAGCATCATACTGGAAGCTGTAATGCAAGTGATGCTCTGGAAATGCAGTGACTTCAATAGGCATTATAATTGAGCACAGTGGGGTTTTGGAAGTAAAAATCCCATTCATTTTCTCCATCAAGAAACTGACTTTAGCAACAATGTATAAATGTTTCTAGACATACCTTCCATTTTTGACATTTAATTGACAAATTTGGGGTTTTCATTTGCAAATTCCTGTTTCCATGCAACAAATATATGTATAAAAAATATGTATTTGAATAACTTTATATTCTGGAACCGAGGCTGCTGAAAAAGTTGGCAGTCACTGTTGCACTGTAGAGTGAGTCTGATAAATGACAATGTGAAATGGATTGCAAACATGCCCTCCGCGTGTCACCTCAATTATTATTATTATTATATTTAAAAAAATAATAAAAATAAAACCCTTAGTTCCCATGTAAACTACAAGAAAAGGGACTCAGAGGACAAGAGGAGTCACAGGAGCAAAGAAAATAAATGTTGTTTCGGTCTGGGATTTAATAAGCTAGTTTGCAGTTGTTCAGGATTAACATGCACCTTCTCTTTTGGTGATTCATTATAGGATTCATTGTAAAATGATGCTTATAGTGAATTCATCAAAATGTCTTTGAACATGAAGCTTTGTTTGGCTTCAGAGCTATTGCACAGGAATCTGTATAGTCCACATACAGTATTACATACAGTCTATAAAAGTCAAATAATGAAGAAATAGTGTAAATATCACTGCAACCTAAAGGCAGAACTTTTACATGTGCATGACAGTTTCAGTGTTCTTGTATCTGTATATTTGTGTCTTGCCCTGTTATTTGTGATCTTGAAAAGCTATGGAATATTATGTTGACCAATAAAGGTTCACTTCTGGAAGAATCTCTCTTTTTATCTCGATGTCAGGATGTTGCATTTCCTACTACTAGGCCTATCTTTCTTTTCAAAACCGGCACTCTGAGGAAAAAAATACAAACTGTCACTGGTGTAGTAAGTTACAACATACAAGGTATCTACCCCTAAATTGTACATATTAATAACTGATATGTACATAGTGTAAATATTAGTACCTAAAGTGGCCATATTGGTACATTTTAAAAGGAACTGCCTCAATTACAATTTTACATTTTTTTCTGAGAGTGAAAAGCAGTTTGGTAAGTAAAGCAATCATTTCTCAAATTAGGAGGGGATCCATCTTTCTTTCTTTTTTTTTTTTAGCATTGTTTTACCTTTTTAGTGACAAATTCCACCAATTGCAAAAATGAAACTATGTTAAATAATACAAGTAAGCATCAAAACAGTTCTCTTTGTTTTTTGTTTTTTTTGGGGGGGGGGGGGGGATAAATTCCTAAAAATTTCCGTTCCCCCGGAGGTCACCTTTTTCTTTGTGTTGCATCGCCCCCAAACGACTGAGCCCGTGTCCTACCGGAAAAAAAAGAATAAAAGTCATATTTAAATAGTCATTCATTTGTTTAATTTAAATACGGTGTCTTCATTTGGTGCATAGAACAATTGACAGTGACACATTTTCTCAGCTGACGGCTTCATTGCCAAGCGAAAGAAAGAAAGAAAGAAAGATGTGTTTGATCTTGCAGTCGCCAGTCTGACTCTGAATGAAAAAGCCACGCCCTCCCCATTCATTCCCGTCTGTCGCTGACGCACCAATGATCCTATTGGTCAACTGATATCACGTGTCACTGTTCCAGCTTCGCGCACGCTGATTCTCCACAGCGGCAGAACGGTGGACGGGTGCATCTTTGTCGCTGCGCTGGTGAGTACATGATAAAAACACACATATCCTTAAATATTACGTGGTTTAAGTGTTTTAAGCTGCAGATGTATCGACTGAGTACTTTTTTTATCTACTCCAAAATATGTAATTTAAACACTTAAATGCAGTAGAAATGTATATATTTGTATAGCAAACGGCTATGGCTAGCGATTAGCAGCTAGCTCCTTATGCATTTCACAAAAACAGCGAGATTTGAGCATTATTTGATGATTTTCTCTTACTTTTATGTCTGAAAGAATGAAATAAGCGTTTATTCTGTCTCATGGTGTAGTTAAATAAAGATTCTGACAGTTTTTTGTTGTTTTGGGGGAGGGTCGCGACCATTTTATCTCATTCGGTAACGTTATATCTAGCCGTGTCTTAAAACCAAATGCGTATCTTGGTTGGAAAGCATTTTTGGGCATCATTAGCCAGGTTTACCTGTACAAACGTAATTTGATCATCTTAAGAACCAAATGTCTTATTAAATGAAGTTAGATGTTTGCGCAGCCCGGTGAACGGCTCTCCCCATTGTTTGGCTGCATTAAAATGGCCGCGCAGCTGTGATGTATACTGCGTTTACCTTGTTTACTTCCAACATTGTGTTGCTTTAGGTACAGCATCAGCTAACTTGCGTGTTTGTTGATTATGAAAGAGATGCATTGTTAGTATTTATGTTCTACTCAGATTTTAGTTACTGGGGCGGTTTCGTCCTGTTTGTTAAATGGGCACAAATTATATAATACAATGATATAAAGTTGCACAGTGAAAAAATATGATTTTAATAATTGCACATTTTTGTTCCTCCAAAATGTATTTGCGTCAATGCTGAAGTGCTTATGCTACATGTTAATATTTGAGGAGAACAGTGCCAGTAGAGCCAAAATGTATTATTATTTGCAAAATTATTATTATATGCATTATGTATTTGTTTTATTTCTAAAATATAATACAGATATTTTCAGAATGCCGTTTTGGGACCCCCAGGGCGTGCTGGGGGGTCTGTGAAATTTTAGAGAATAATAGTGTTTAATAGTGTTAATTTTTAAATAAATATTTTAAAAATTGATTAATGTAAATCATAAAAATGATTCAAACATGTGCAAACTGTGTCGTGTACTACAATGAATAGGCAAGTTATATAATATAACAACTAAATATTTTCCAAGTAATATTTTACACATTACTTTTTAATAATATAAATTGGGCCTTTAATGCATGAAATTGTTGCTTGCTTTTAATACTAAGGGTCTGTGGCATCTAAAAGGTTGAAAAAAACCCTGATATAATACAATGCAGCCTGTCTGTCCTCCTGCTTTTATTTTATTCCAGTTGAGTTTTTTTTTTCTTTTCATTGTTCTTGCCTGGGGTTAGTACAGTTGTGATGTTCGTAGCTGTAGTAAGGGTAAAAAGACATGCCTCACAGCTGTAGAGCAGACGTGAGACGGTTCACTTGTGAATTGTGAGATCAACAAACATTTCCTGCCAATTCTAGGATATATGCTGTGAATGAAAAACACATTTTGCCCAGAACAAAAGGTGAGAACAGCACTGGTGAACATCTGATTTAGCACTTACGTGGCAAGCATGGAGACAATAGCAGGAAATGAGTTCATGTGTCATGTGTTTTAAATTTATATCTATTTAAGATTTCAGTCTGGTAAATAAAAGGGGTTTCCAATCCAAGCGGGTTAGCATAAAGGAGGATTCATGTGTTCGGAGCTGCTTGTTCTGCATCTCTGAATGATATTATGGTTTGTATTTAGTCACTGTTTTTGCTTGCTTTTAATACTAAGGGTCTGTGGCATCTAAATATATATATCATCTGATATAATACAATGCAGCCTGTCTGTCCTCCTGCTTTTATTTTATTCCAGTTGAGTTTTTTTTTTTCTTTTCATTGTTCTTGCCTGGGGTTAGTACAGTTGTGATGTTCGTAGCTGTAGTAAGGGTAAAAAGACATGCCTCACAGCTGTAGAGCAGACGTGAGACGGTTCACTTGTGAATTGTGAGATCAACAAACATTTCCTGCCAATTCTAGGATATATGCTGTGAATGAAAAACACGTTTTGCCCAGAACAAAAGGTGAGAACAGCACTGGTGAACATCTGATTTAGCACTTACGTGGCAAGCATGGAGACAATAGCAGGAAATGAGTTAATGTGTCATGTGTTTTAAATTTATATCTATTTAAGATTTCAGTCTGGTAAATAAAAGGGGTTTCCAATCCAAGCGGGTTAGCATAAAGGAGGTTTCATGTGTTCGGAGCTGCTTGTTCTGCATCTCTGAATGATATTATGGTTTGTATTTAGTCACTGTTTCCATGGAGATCCGAATATGTGATGCTCCTGTGATCTGTAAATATTTCCCATGGTGCATGTAGAAGGATTATATAGATTAGGCCTTGATTTGTGTGGAATCTGAAGCTCAATCAGAATTGCTTTACCTGGGTTTTAACTTCAAATCCTTTTTTGACAATGGTGTTTTTGTATCAACTTCCATTTGTGCCTGCTGAATGAATAAATATAGCCATAACTATATATTGTTATACATTTTGGTTGACTTCATCTTTAAAGGGGTCATATGATGCTTTTTTAAAGATCATTATTTTGTGTATTTGGTGTAACAGTTGAAAGAATTATGTTTTTGCTTCATTATAGGTTTTGACTGATTATTATACATAAAACTGGTTGTTTTCCATTACAGACCAACTGGAGCAGCATTCCTCTGCTACATATAGACCAACACTGCCAAACTGAAGAACTACTTTGTAGCCATTATGGTAAAGTATACATACATCAATGCTTCTGCAGTCTGATTTCTTCCGTATAGTACTAATTAATTATACTAATATGGCAATAATTACACAGAGCAGTCACACTGATTAGGAAAAGGAGAAAGAAGTCTCTTATGCTCACCAAGGCTGCATTTATTTGATAAACAATACAGTAAGATCAGTGATTTTGTAAAATGTTACAATTATAAATAATGTTATATATTTTAGAATGTAATTTATTGCTATGATCAAAGCTGAATTTTCAGCATCATTACTCCATTCTTCAGTGTCACATGATCCATCAGAAATCATTCTACTATGCTGATTTGCTGCTCAAGAAACATTTCTCAATATTATCAGTGTTAAACCGTTATATGCTTTTCATTTTTTCAGAATTCTTTGATGAATAGAAAGTTCAAAAGAACATTTATTTGGAATAGAAATATTTTGAAATATTACAAATGTGTTTACAGTCACTTTTGATCAATTTAATGCATCCTTGTTCAACAGAAGTATTAATTTCTTAAAATAAAAGTTTTACTGACCTCAGGCTTTTGGACAGCACAACCTTTTGGTTTAACTTGTCATGTAAATTAACGTTTTTTTTTCTCTTTGTTTCCGTGAAGCCGCCTCCCATTCGTCATCGCTCCATGCGCATCTTTGTGAACGACGACCGCCATGTGATGGCCAAACACTCCTCTATCTATCCCACCCAGGAGGAGCTGGAGGGGGTGCAGAACATGGTGTCCCACACTGAACGTGCCCTCAAGGCTGTCTCTGATTGGCTGGATGAGCAGGAGAAAGGAAATGCCAATGCGAATGCTTCGGAGTCCGATGGAGATGGCGAGAAAGAGATGTGAGAATATTTAATTGTGACTTTTCTGTTCACTGTCATTTTACTGTGACTGTGTGATTAGTTATTGGTGTGTGTTAGTATCTCGCATGTAACTGCCCATCATATTTTGTCCTCCAGTGATCTAAAGTCAATGGAGCACCCCACACGTTCCCTGCGTGGAGTCATGCGTGTGGGGCTGGTAGCTAAAGGTCTCCTGCTGAAGGGAGATCTTGACCTAGAGCTTGTGCTGTTGTGCAAAGACAAACCCACCATCACCCTGCTGAAGAAAGTGTCTGAGAACCTTGCTGTGCAGCTTAAGGTATGTCTGTATCTCTAATTTTAAACATTATTTACAAAGGCAGGATAAAAAACATGCATGAACCTCAATGATCTGTCCTACAGGTCGTCACAGAAGAAAAATATGACGTTAAACCATGCATCCGCGATGCCACCATTGTCATCAAGAACTCTAAGGAG